AGACTCTAACGCTCGCAAATGAAAAAATGTATGTACGGATGTATGGAAGGATCTATGCACACAGCATGAGCATGTACGTTTGTATGTTTTCTGCGGAAGCTTGACAAGCTTCGGAAAGCCTCAAGGGTTTTTGAACGCGAACTCTGTTTAAACCGCGTATCAGGCGCCATGCAAGCACCAAACGCACTCAAAGTGCTTCAGCCCTCAGCCTCGTACCAGTAACAGGGCTCCAAAACACTCTCGAGGCTTGAAACTGACGAGCTGTAGGTGATGCGCGGCGAGGCGGGCGTTGACGAGCGCAGTGTAGCGTGCTCTTTACCTTACTACTGAGGCGCACACTGAGCGCTGCATCTTGGCACGGGCACCCGGTGCTTGGAGAGGGTTTGTCAGAGTATTCCTTGTTCCCGCAACTTCGTTGAACAAACGGTTCGAGGCAGAAGTGTGTGGAGTCTCATGATCTTCCCAGGGAGGCTTGGTAGGGACGCATGTTTGCGTCAGTGGCAAACATTCTCGGGTTGACTAGACGGTCGTGACCGAAAGCAGTGGTTCAGCAGCAAGCCAGCAGAGCTCCGGGAATTACATTATCCGTGGTTGCCGCTGGCCATGTGCAACTTGATGTGACTGTTTGCATGTGCGCGTGGCTGCCGCGATTGAACTATTGTCACTATGCCGGGCCGCGGGGTCTTCAATCTGCAGGCTAACATCGAGCTCCCAAATCTCCCAAATCCCAAGGCCGCCATCGTCCACCCTCCAAAGCATCCGCAGAAGCTCTTTTTAAAATCTTCGCCTGCCGGAGCTCCTTGCAGGTCCTCGATTCCAAGATGGAGCTCCACGTCCGACAGGACGACGGCACGGTGCAGGACGCGGGTTGGGCAGTTGCACGTCGAGGGTGGGGAAGGTTGTGAGGTAGTAGTTTCAGGTTTTGCTGTCGCTGGCTGGAGGCTGGAGCGACTAAGAGGCATAGTGTTGGCAGTTGCACGCAGTCTGATGTCATGGCGGGTATCACGCTTGTAGCATGCTTGTAAAGTACCACTGTGTTTACACTCTTCTGGCTGAGACATGTTGATAGCAGCCCTGTGTGAGTATTCTGTGCATCCTGCGTTGAGGATTCGTGTCTGACGGAGGAGGCCGGACTCCTTGAGTGAGAGCCTGCTCTGCCCCCTGAGCCTAGCACCATCAGTGGTTTGTCACATCTTGGGAGGTTTTGGAATGTCGAGGTTTTGTTCGTCGGGCTACACGGGCCATAAAGTCCCTTTCGGGCTACGCTTGGGCAGACGGTTCATCTGAACCTACTGGTGGTAGTTCTCAATGAGTTCTCAATAATGGGGATGCAGAGGGGGTCAGGTCTGCCAGCAAAGTCCGCACGTGCCAAGCGAGACAGTTGAGTCCAAAGGCTCCCGGTCTGAAGCAACCAGCCTCAGGTGGTTTCCGTCGTCACTGGCCAAACGGCATTGGTGGAGGCTTTGCGGACGGGAAGAGGACATCTGGCATAGTCCGCGAAAGTGTTTCTGGACTTCTGCGAGATATCTTTCTTCCTCCCCCGCATCCGGACTCCGAGGTTTCGAGATGTTTCGAGCACAGCATGCTCCTGTCGAGTGAAGGCATCTAAGAGCGCTGCGACTCCGACGAAAGGCGGCATTGCCCCGACCACTGGCCGGCCGACGCGTGGCGCAGGTTGCCGAAACCCCAGCCTTGCGCAGGTCTCAAACTTGTGTCCGCGCGAGCCTGGGGGGTTTCATCCAGTTTCAGTTGTCGTCGAGTTGGGGTAGTTATTTTCGTAGAAGGTCGAGCTTGAAATACCCAGCATAAGAGCCCGACCCGATTCAAACCTGAGTATCCACGAACAGACCCCAGACGAGGCGTGTAGTGACAAGCACTTCCTTGCGCTGACGTCTGACGGTGTGGTTCACAGCTGCGGAAGCTATGCCCTCAGAAGCAGGGTTGCATGCTAGCCAACTTTGACCTCCTTCACGATCTTTGCGCAGCGAGTTCAACATGCAAACTCAATGCGCAGGTGGACAATGTCTTTTTATGTGGTTTTCGGATGTTGGATTGTCAAAATTGTTCGGCGAGTCGTGCATCTTGGTGCGACTGTGCTGTCACGGCTACGTGCCACCTGCCCCTTTAGGGCTAACGGTGGGCCACTTGTGCCTTGCCAAAATTGATGCTTGTCTCGACTGTCGAAGTGCGAGGTCCCAGCACAGCTGGTGCTGGCTGCGAGGGTCGGAACGGTAATACAGATTGCCAGGCTTGTCAAACAAATTTTGTGCTCTTAGTGGCTTTTCTGGTTTGTACTCCACAAGCCCTGGTTGTGTCCATCCCAACTTCAAGCCGTCCTTCAACGCACGAGGTAACACCAGCGGGCAGCTCGGGCTCGCACCCTACGCTGCCGTTCGTCTCTTGATGGTTCGATCCTCCGAGCTTAGGATGTGTGTATGTGTGTGTGTGTCTGCTGTCGTCACCTGCAGAGTCATGCCACTGCCCGAGTTAACCATGGCTCTCTTCTCCCAGCTAGCCAGTTTTTCAGTCTCTTGGTGTCCCAGGACACAAAACCCTAAACCCGGGCTTGACATGTTCGAGAGTGAGTGCTGAAACCCGGGCTTGCTACATTTCAAGCTCAGGCTCGGTCATACCGACTTTATCCTCAAGCTGTCGCCGATTTCCTTGGATAAGAACGGAATGAACCGCCTGCACCTCGGGGCCCAACGCAGGTTCCAGGCATTTGGGAGGTTGTCAAAATTATGGTCCCTTTTTGGGTCCTTATTATAATACGGCACCTATTATTTAGGGTACCCCAAAAGGGACTATAATTTTGACAACTACCCATTTGGGTCGCGGCATCCAAGTCTCCTGCACTCACACAATAAGTTTTGCTGTCCTCTGCAACCTCCCATGCGATGCGGCGGACTGCAATGAGCATAGATTCGACTGTGAGGCCCTGGCATCTGATTGTTGGATATGTTGATGTCAGCAATCGGTTATGAAGCTGTGTTGCTTCGTTCCGCCTTTTCTCTCCGAATCGTGCTTTGCAGTTTTTCGGTTCCCGACAACGTGGAGCATGCTTGTGAGAATTGTGTTTGGGTGCCGCTGCGCCAGAGGTTTCGCAATCTTCGTCGCCTGCGGCTCGGAGCACTCGGCCGCGGCCTCGAAGTCTTGACCTGATTTGTGGGCGGCTGCTCAGGGGTCGTTAGAGTGAGAGATGACAGGCCGTTCTCTGCGAGCAGGGCACGGTCGCGCCCCTGGACGGTTGAAAGTCTCTCCTATTGACTCCTTGTCCTAGTGGCTTCTTGCAGTCTCTTGCTGCGTCGCAGCGATGGGAGCTCTTTGAGGCGATTACTTTTGGAAGCAGCCATGATTTTCGACTTGGAAGAAGGCCATCGCTGCGTGTGCATGGTGTATGTTTTTGCAACGTCTCTTGTCATGGCAGCGCGGGCAGGAAGTGAAAATCATACCGACACGACGCAGCGTCACTTAGTTGGGGTCGTTTTGCCCGTAGCCGTTTTGATCGGGCAGTCTAGAATTCTAGTTTTAGAGACCGCGCCAAAGCCCGGATCCTAGCTCCCATCCGTGCAGTCCAGCAGGCTTGGGACTTCAATGCGCGGTCAGATCGGTTCATAGGTGGTGAGTCATGTTCCGATTGGTTTCCGGAACCGAGGCCGCGATGCAGATAACATCGGCAGTCCTTTTGGTCTTCGGCTTTGCCTGCCGACTCTTGGCACAATCGTTCACTTGTGAAGCCGACCCGTGTGATTGAATCATACACTGTGTCTTGAAAACAGCAGGGCCGGTTTTATTGTTGGCCACAGTGCGAACGGTATTGCCCTACCAAAACTGACGAAAAGGGTCCGTGCATGCAGCAAAGCCGCTTTCCAACCATCCCCAAACCGTGAACCCAGCGTGGTTCTATGTGCTTCGCCAAGAGCAGGCACGGAAGCAATAAAGCCACTGCCGCCGGATTGAACAATCCCGAATCCCGCCTTGACATCCAAGTGCTGCACGGACGGAAGCTTTTGCATTGCAGCAGCACCAGCACGAGCAGCAACTGTAGTCACCAGATTTTTTGCCCCATTCATCAAAGCCCTAGGCCTTGTCTCGGTCACGAGTGGAAGCCCAGTTAAGTGGCAAACATAAGTAACCCAAGGAAGCTTTCTGACTAACATCTTAGATTCCTACTTGTAGCTATAGTCGTTCCGAACAGCGGAGCCAAAAAGGAAGCTGTGATCGATGTAAGGTGCTGTGCTGGCAGATGAGGAGCCTGGCCTGAAATTTGGAAGATAGAAGCAGGGAGGTAAAGACCAGTGCCTAAAATGCAAGACCTGCTCCGTGCTTCATCTGCGTTCTGGACTTTGCTTCAATCCTTCCTGGATGTAAGCGGCATGAAACCAGAGTTTATAGAACATTTGTGTTGGCTGATGATTCGGAGCTACGCCGGATGTCTCCGACACGGAGATGCCAAAGCCAGCTGAGGCCTGTGAAGACGTGAATCAAGCATTTGCAGTGGAGGAAGACAAGGGCAGCTGTGCCAGCATTGGCTTATGCTGCCTTAGGGTTTGGCTCACGTATGTTTCGTCCTTCATTGCCATGCCGAGAGGCTCGGTAGGCAGGTCGAAGATTTCAGGGCGTGGGGTACCTATCCAGATGATTTCTGAGAGTTTGAAGCAACAGGTCCGCAACTCGGGCAGAGTGCTGGTCGTGCCAAGCCCTGCTCGTGGAAGCCAAGGTGTCGAACTCCTTCAGAGCAGCTTTGACAGAAAGTTTTCCTGCTTGCAGCGGTTTTGACGGGACATTCCAGCGATCACTAGTTGTGGCGGAGGCATTTCAGGGTGCATGGAGAATTTTGGCGATTGGAGGTGGATCCACACCTTGCACCCAGGTACTGAGTGGTGAAGTCGAAGGCCACCCCACACCCTAACAGATGAGATGCCCTCAGTGCTCGCCAGGTTGTGCCGAGTTGTCAGTGCTGAGAAGATAAGACAAGACCCCTTGAGCCCAGGCCGAGGTGAGTTGAAGGCGCGGGGAGTTATACTTATCATTGTTATCAAGTTATCATCCCTATTATTGTTATTATTATTATTATTATCATCATGAATCATGACTATGATTATTATTGTTATTATTATTATTTTTACTATTGCTATTGCTATTTTCGTGACCCGTTCGCGCTGAGATCTTCGGCAAATTTTTGAGAAGCCGCCAAGCTAGGGGTCAGATGCAGACACCAATCAGGTTTGGCGCCAGCCAGTCGTGGCCTTTTTTGAAGGCATCTTCTAGGAGTCATTGCTTAGCGTAAGGCCATAGGATTAACTTTTCTTTCGCTCGATTTTGCTGAGCTGATTCGACGCTGGCTTCTCGTGCATGCACATGAAGGCAAGGTGGCAGGGAGGGCATAGTTGTGCCTAACCCTAAGCACCACGAAGCTGCTTTGCGAGCTTTTCCAAACAGGCAGAGCTAGCGAACTGGAACAGGCCCGTAGGTTCTTCCGCTGCAGGCCCGCTTGGCCACAGCCGACCCGAGCTGCTCCGCTGCCCCCGACCCTGGGCTGAGAATGCCGCGCAGGGCTGAAAGGGTTGAGGCTTCCAGTTCACCCATCTCCTTGCAGTCGCTCTTTACTTTAGGATATGGTCCAAACTGCAGTCCCGACTTTGCTTGAGCTGAAACCCGAAACCGAGGCCTGGACCCTTAACCCACTTCCCGGCACCGCAGATGATGAGCTTGAATAAATTCACTTCCGAAATCCAATCATTCAGGGCCAGTCAGGGCCCCTTAGCAAGAGTTGCAGATATGTATAGTGTACAGTCTAGTTTTGTCCCGCTTCAATTTCTGCTCGTCAGACGCACTGCAGTTGCTGCCCTCATAGTGCACAGCTTTCGGGAGCGCTTTGCGTTGCTAGCACTCGTGACGCTAGCACTCCAAGTATAGCCCGAACGAACGAGGAGCCTTACTTCTGGTAGTTTTACATCTCGCACTTGCCTTTTGCATCATGGGCTGCTGTATGACGAACCAGGGTCCACCCCCATGCGTTGCAGACAACGAATGCCTCCGGCGGTGGATATGCTTCGACCGCATCGTGGAGTTGCTGGATTTCTTTGCAACGTCGATGTATTGCTTGGAGTCGTACAAGATCATGGTGGACAGCAGTGCCACGTCTGAGAGCTCAGCACGAGAAAATCTCTGGATATTCTCCGTGTTCGTCCTGATAGCTTCCTGGTTCTGTATGATGTTTTTTCACTTCCGCAAATCCACTAAGAAGTTCAACATTTTACATGCAGGCGCCTTCCTTCTTTGCTTTGCGGTGCCTCTTATTGTCCTTCTGGTGGTTGGGCTTACAGGCCTGTCTCTTGAGGCGCACTCAACCTTGGGGATTTTCAGCGTAGTTTGGTGGTCCCTTGGGACCGGCGCTCTCTGCATAGTGTATATGTCCCGCAATAACCCGGTGAACACTTCTGCGGGTTTCGAGGTGCCAGGAGTAGGGTGTTGCATCGCCTGCTGCATGGTTGAGAGGAAGCTGAAGGAGGCTATAGAGTTTCGTGGTGAGAACGCTTATGGCGACATGTTGCGAATAACGCAAGACGTCCCAAGCATCATCATCAGCTCAATCCACATCAACCAGCTGGATGTTAGCTGGTATGCTGTGCTGAATCTCAGCACGAGCTTTTTCGCATTGGCACTCTACCTATACTTGCTCGTCGAGAAGTGTGTGCCACCTCCGCCCGGAAGCAAGCCGGTGGTCATCTTTGGAGCTGTCTTGCCGTCCTGAGCTGGGTGATGTACGACTGAATGGTTTCAGGCCGGATAAGTTGCGGTTGAGTAGTGTTTTACTTGCGTCGCTGCTCTGACTGGAGCATTCCACTTTGACAGCCCCTGCAGTATGTGCTAAGCTGAACTCAGTGCAGTGCAGTGTTTACGTTACACAGTCCTTGATGTTGATGAATATAACCACTTCGTACTTGGACAGCCAAACTGGAGTCTTGATCTAGAGTTCGGGGGCGGCACAGGTAAGCCATTCAAATCAATTGGATCCTGTGTTCTACTTTATTGGATGGTGACCCCCAAATACCTGAACCAACCCGCGCTACAGGGCAGGGCCACAAGCAAAGCGAAATGCCGGTGAGAGCTGACGCTCCCGCCGAGCGGAGCAAACAGCTACCTCCTTGAAGGATGAGGCTGTTCGGCGCGAGCAGTGTGTCTCACCCTCTTGAAGTCATGATGACCCTGTCCCAGCGGATGGGGTCATGCAATGCAGGAGGAAAAACACCACGGTGAATTCTGATGACATTGAACTGATGAAGAGTTGATCTGCAGTTTTCAGGAGTTTACTGCTACGAGGGTTTTGCATGGCCCTTCCTGGCAATGAGCTTTGACCTGCGGTATAGATCAATTGACTGCATGTGCATGTACGAGAACCGCGAAGAAGCGGTGATAGCGGAGCCTTCAGTGGGGAGAGGCAAGTTTGATGGCCTCGCGATTCTGCGAAAGTCGGAGGAGTGTACCTCCCTCGCTGAAAAGTCAGAGTGCGAGTGCCGAAACCCTGCGTTCAAAGCCTCTCCTAAAGCCGAGGAATGTGCCAAGTTGAAGTTGCAGGGGCTTCCTGGATGCAAGCAGGGCTCAGAGGAGAACTTTAGTCGCCAGCTCCCAACCATACCAAGAGTCCGAAGCCCTTCAACATCCTGAAACCTCCGCTGCACTCCATTAGGATGAACCTTTCGAGTCGCATGGCATCTCTTAGCGATTTCTCGTCGCGTCGGAACATGGGATGCAACTAGGAACTGCTGCCCTAACGACGCCGGCATCAGCCTTGGATGCTGCCCCGGAGGCATGATACGGATTTGGAAGATCATGTGATCTTGCTGGGCCGCACCCATCTATCTGTGTATATATTCAGCTATCTGGCGAGCAATCTGTTTATTTATCTATCTATCCATCTATCCATCTATCCATCTATCCATCTATCCATCCATCCATCCATCGATCTATCTATCTATCTATCTGTCTATCTATCTATCTATCTATCTATCTATCTTTCTATCTATCTATCTATC